TTATAAGAAAACCAAACTTACGGCATTCACTAGAAATTGCATAATATTACAATTATGTCGAAGACTAACCAAAACAGTAGAAATATATATATATATATATATATATTTTGTTCGATCAATTTGAATTTAATTAGGCCGGTAAAATAATTTTAAATTTTTTTTCCATACAAATTTAATAATATTTAACTTTATACTTTTTTCTTTAGTTTTTATTTTATAACTCAATTACATTTTTTAATAATATCTATTGGTTTTTAGAAAATTATATACTTATTGATATGGGGACAGGCGCAATGCGTGTATTTGGAGACTAATAAATTAAAATATACTAATACTATAAAATATTGTCACAAATTAAATCAAGATAGATAACTTACCGAAAATGCCTCTCCTACCATAACAAGAAAGCCGAAAGGAATTAGCAGGAGTCATATCAACAGCCATCCATTCATCATCTTTAGTCTTAATTTCCAAACCATTAACTTGGTTCTGGTGAAGTATGCTCAGGAAAGTTTTATGAGTGTGAACCTGTGACCCAACATTTGATTCATCCAATTTTGGTGTCCTATACTTTATTAATCGAAGGAGATAAGTTGTTGATTCGTCTAAAGAATCATAGCATTTTTCTACTCCATAGCTCTCTAAAACCATCCTTTTCACCATCTTCTCCAATCCAGCTACTATGTTTGCATAGTCATGAATAATTTCACTAAAATATAAAAAATAAAGGAACATCAAGGATGAGACTCCGTGCTAATTAGGCCACAATTCATTGCACTATGCATGTAACTCAACTTTTGGAATGGACATTTTTTTTAGAGAGAGCCCATTTGGCCATAATTTTTTTTTTTTATATACTTTTTTTCGAAAATTTTTAACTTTTTTCAGAATCAGTGTTTTGGCCATGAAAATTTTAGATTTTACTTGAAGTTGAAATTTGAATTTTTTTTGGAAATTTGAAAAACTTCAAAAAGCTATTTTTCAAAATTTCACTTCAAATCACTCACAAAAATTCAAAAGCAGTGCTCCAAAATTTGATTCTTGTCCTAGAAATAAAAACAGAGGGAAATTACAGCTTATAAATTAGTATTGAACTCCAAGAATATTTTCTTAAAACTTTAAATTTGATCAAATAGAATTTCGTTCGACTTCGAACAAAAATACCAAAAAATTAATTAAATAAATATATTGTGATTTAAACATCCATGATATTTTTATGACTATAAGACCATGTCCTTAAAAATAAAATAAAAAGTTAAAAGTTAAAAGAATTCTCAAATATATGAAGTTATTATTTCATTTTTAGAAACAGACTAATATGTAAAGTGTGTTATATAAAATAAAACATATGGAGTACCTAAAGTGGTCATTTCCGGAAGGCCACATGAGGTTTGTAAAATTTTGAACTCCTTCAGCAGTTATTGCATCTCCAATATTAATCCCTAGGATTTCTTGAAGAGGGAAATCAGGGATTTTTCCATAGTAACCATAGAAGGGTTTTTCAGAAGTGTTACAAAGTTTGGTTTCTGTGGGAAGATCAAACAATTCTTCCAGTGCATGAAATATATCACTAATCGGCGAAACGGAGTCGTAAACCGCCAGAAAACAACCGTACTCTTCCAGTGCACGGCGGACTTCATCACAAGCTGAGAACCAGTTGGAAATGTTAGATTTCAAATACTGATTTGATAGGGTCAAGAGAGGAAGTCTTAGAGGTGTTTGATGACTCATGTTTATAGCAGGTTATAGAAACCTTAATACTTTTGTAAGATGCATTTCTTGTTTTGCATGTATCCTTTATATAGAAAAAGGGTTTACCTAACTTATTTATGCACAACAATATCAATATATTTTATATTAGTAATGTATTTTTGACATGTTGCAACAAGTGACGTGTCTTATTTTCAGATAATACTAATCATACTTTAAATTTACAGTAAGTTATACTATCAATATGAAGAATTTAATTTTATCTAGACAAAAAACAGAACATATTTTGTACAATTATCCTTTATTTTTATCTATTTAAAATTCTCATAGATGTGCTCAGCGTTTGTTGATTATCTGATATTTAAAAAAAAAAAGATGTTGTTCTATGTATTTAGATAATGACGAATTTGAGACTTTGTTTAAAAAAGATACTAATACTATATAGTTGTTTTCAATTTTCATTTATGGTTGACTTGTTTGTCTTCATTTAAAATGATCTATTGAAAGAAACCAAATTCAAGTAAGTAGGGGTTGACATTGGCATACTATTTCAGGTTTCATTGTTCCTAGATCCGGTTAGATTTGTTCCGTTAAAATTTAATTTTGTGAATTCTTATAATAATTGTTTGACTCAAAAGTTATTAAACACTTTTTAAGCAAATCAATCAAAAAGAAATGAAGAGGTAAATCGTAATCGAAAATAATAAACCCTAGGATGATCTTGATAATCGGTTCTTGCAACAATAGTATATATGAGAGAGAGGAAAAGAGATAATCTTAGAGAGATGAGAGAGCAAGAGAAAAGTTTATATCCCAAAATGAATGAATCCTCATTTACAGAGCTCGGATCCCCTTTATATAGTAAGGGATCCTTATTTAAATATTAAAAGGTAAAACCAAAGTACATTCTATAGAGGGGCCGACGAGGTTATGAAGTCGTTTCTCCCGTTACTCCTAAGTCATCCTTCTGTCGGAGCTCACATATGTTCAGCGGTTGGTCGTGCTGACTTAAGGACGCTATCGGTCAAATTCGACCCCATGCAGTTAGTCCCTCCGCTCGTCGGGGTCGCAGCGAGATGCGTTCTCGATGGGCGGAATCGATGCCTCCGTTCGAGGGAGTAGTTTGTACTTTGTACGAAAGGTATTGTGACGTGACAGGTAGGAGACAGTAATCATAACTGTCAGAGCGTCGAAACGAAACGCCTTTCTCTGTATGACGTTAGCGTTCGCATGCATCATCATTGCGCGTATTCTCGAGGCAAGAAATCAAATGCTTTTGGCGCTTGGTTTTCCGCGCTAACTCGAAGCCTGCCTCTTCGATTCTGGCGCCACCCAACCCTATAAATAGGGGAAAGATTTAACCTGATTCGAACTTTGGCCATTTGTAAGAGTATTCCAACCCTTCAGTGTATATTTTTGCATTCTGGTACTTTTTCCTTCGATCAAAAATTTCCTTCTTCTTCGTTGCGCTGTGTGCAACTCTTTCTCAACCGAAATCGTGCCTAAACCTCAGCGAAACGACGAGAGGATCCCGGCGGCTGCTCCATCGAACGTGCCGCCGCCTTCCGATGGTGGAGAGGTGGAGGAAGAAGAGGACATCAGTCCTCTTACGGTGGAAGCGCTACTGCCAAAGCATCCTTCGTCTCGAAGCGATTTCAGCAAGGACTCTCCCACTCCGACTCCGGTGCATTCCGAGTCGCTGCAAAATCACTTATACGATCTCCGTATAAAGTACGGCATACCTGCCCCCATAGAGATGGTTCCAGCGGGGAGAGATCACGTAGATGTTCACAAGCCAGGGTACTGTGCCTTTTATGAATACCCCTTTTTGATTGGTTATGGCCTTCCTCTTTTTCCTTTGGCGGAGGAGCTTTGCTGATTCTATAACGTGTGTCCGGCTCAACTTACGCCGTATACCCTGAAGGTGCTTCGGCTACTGACCAAGTATGCGGAGTGTCACACCTCCTTTTTTACACACCTACCCCGAAGGATAATGTATAAGGGAGTTTTTCCAATTTAAGTGACATTATTCGAAATGAGATTATTTATTTATTTCAGAGTCGCCATTTGGGATAGGTTTGGCTTTTGGTGTCCCAAGTCACCGGTTTTTCTTGAATCCCAAATCGAGGAAATTTTCGACTTTCCAAGTGAAGTCTGCAAACCAGAAATTCTGAATAAGGAATTGTGTTGACCCGGGGGAAGGTATTAGGCACCCCCGGATCCCGTGGTTCTAGCACGGTCGCTTAAACTATTATAAGTGGCTTAATATCTTATTTTAATACATGTCATTCTATAGTGCAAGTTTAAAATTATTTACCGCTTTTAATTAATTTTAAGGAAATTGAACGTCGTTTAAAACATGTTTTTGGAACACGTCACATGAAATGCACCCGGATCCTCGACACATTTTATTCAACGTTTGGGATTTGGATTTGGGTCACATGAAATGCACACCCGAATTTAGGAAGGTAAAATTATTAAAGAACGTGCCTAAAGTGACTAACGTGTTGTTAACTTTGCGGGAGGCCATGAAAATTCGCTAAATGGCACGTCCCGAGTTCTAAATATTTTTAAGCAAGTAATTAAAGAGGGCCACGCAATTTATGAATTTTGTTTGGCGCGGTGCACCTCGTTTTATTTTTAAGGCCATCCTAAAAGGACTATTGTTCTCTATTAAAGATTGTCTCTAAAGGCCTAATTAATTAACATTATGACTTAATTATTATTTAAGGCATTTGAGAAAATTCGGGCCTCGAGATCAAGTCCAAATTCAAACAAAAAAATCTCCATTATTTGAGATCCCCTTAATTCAAAAATTTGCTACTTATCTTAGAAGGCCCAAAATTGTATTACAAATTTAAAACGATGGCTTTAAATGAATTCAAACTTCAGCACTTAGGGCTTTGAGACTAGCCCAAGAAGTAGCCAGCTTGTGTGAAAAGCTGTTCAAAAGGGCTTCTGAATAGGCCCAACACGAGGGCAACAAAATTGAGACTGGGGCCTAAACCGCCCTGGCCCTTGACTCAATGAAATTAATTGACTTAGAAGAGGTGGGCCTGGTGTCAATTCTGGACAATTATTGTGCAACCGGACCATATTAAGCCCAATTTTATGGCCTGGACAGTCCAACCATTACTGTTAAGCAACTTAAGACTGGACTTAAATTCATATTCAATTTATAAGCCAATGTCTAGATTTAAGTTCAGATTCGCAGGGAATACGAATTAAAATTTGAAAGAAGAACTGATGATGTACGTTTGAGACAAACCTCACATACAAATACAAAATAGAATATGAGCCATGTAAATCTGATGGACTAATAGACTATACAACATGAAATTCAAACAAAGCTACCACATTCCTAGGCTTAAACAACTTAAACATTTCCAGCCCATTCGAATGACTTCTAACATTTAGATCATAAGCAGAACCATAGCTAATTTCTGATTTCAAATTAACACAAGGTAACATAAACACCACACTCAAACTAATTCAAATCTAACAATACTAAACATAATACTCATATGATCATGAAAGGAAATAAAATCAATTTAACAGTCCTACATAGTCTCAAACAGTCCAGTTTTAGTTACAAATGAAAATCTAATAAATTTNTACAAAAAGATGCTGAAGAAGTATCGAAAATATCGCTCTAAGCACCGAGCGGTGGTCGACCCCTATCAGCAGGACCCCGAGTTCCAAGTGTTTCGTGAGGGGCTTGAGCAGAGACATGCCCAGTTGGAGCGTAGGGGGGTTGAGCTGGAAGTGGCGGATAGTGAGCTGATGAAGGCCGTGGCCCGTAACAGCGAGTTGGAGGAGCTCCTTAGGGCGAAAGATGACGAGCTCGAACTGAGTCGTGGGGTGGCGGCGGAGAACGCCGACCTACAGCAGAGGGTGGCGGATCTGACCGCCGAGCTCGACGCCGGGATGGCGGAAATCAATAGACTTTCTCAGCCTTCCCCATCTCGTCCCTCGTCTGGTCAGAGTACGCGTCGTAGTGCGCATGAGATGTGGATTTTTGCAGAGGCTAAACTCGACGTGTATATAGAGCTTCATGCTGAGGGCCGGGCGACGGAGAAGGAAGTTCAGGCACGGCGAAACGAGGCTCGCACTGCTCGTGAAGCTTGCGTGTATTACCCCGACTCTCCCGATGGGGAGGGTCCTACTTCCGAAGACGTCAATCGCCTCGACTCAGGTTCTTGGTATAATGATGTTTATCTCCTAGGGGGTGACGAGTAGTTACAAATTTGTATAATGTATATTTTTGGCTTGTGGAATGTATTGGAGCCCGTCCGTGGGGGCGAATGTAAATATATTTTTGATGTAATATAAACTTTACTTTTGCTGCTTCGTCCATTTGTTGCCTTTCCCTTCTTGGATTTTCTTTTATGATGTTTAGCCTCCGTAGAGGTTGCTTTTGTTGTTCGTCAAAAAGGTTGTGTCATGGTTCGAGCGAGGTCGAACTGACATTGATGGTCTTAGCCAGTAGGATGCTACTTCGACTGTCGTCGAAGTAGTATCCGTCGTAATTCGAACGAGGTCGAACCGATGTCGATGGCCTTAGCCATTAGGATGTTGCTTCGACTGTCATCGAAGCGGTATTCGTCGTGGTTTGAACGAGGTCGAACTGATGTCGATGGCCTTGGCCATTAGGATGTTGCTTCGAGTGTCGTCGAAGCGGTATCCGTCGTGGTTCGAGCGAGGTCGAACTGATGTCGATGGCCTTGGCCATTAGGATGTTGCTTCGACTGTCGTCGAAGCGGTATCCATCGTGGTTCGAACGATGTCGAACTGATAGTTCGAGCGAGGTCGAACTGTCAAACTTTGATGGCGAAGGCACTTAGCTTGAGTCCCAGTTCGAGCAAGGTCGAACTGTTAATCTTTGATGGCGAAGGCACTTAGCCTGAGTCCCAGTACGAACGAGGTCGAACTGTCAAACTTTGATGGCGAAGGCACTTAGCCTGAGTCCCAGTTCAAGCGAGGTCGAACTGTTAATCTTTGAAGGCGAAGGCACTTAGCCTGAGTCCTAGTTCGAGCGAGGTCGNATACACTTTTTAGTTAGCAA